AAATTATGTATCCAAAAAAAGGTCACTGAAAATTTTTAATTAATCTTTTTAATACTTTCAAAAATAATTACCCATATTATTTATATCACTTTCCACTATTGTGTAATTAAGGTTTGGACATTCTTCTAGGTGTTGTAGATTCTGAGCTTTAACTGATTTATTGACTAAAATTGTTGCCTTTAGTGTTTTTCTTAATGTCAAGAAAGGTATTAACCTGTACTGACCTGACTAAAAGTTTTATAATGTTGAGATTGAATCTTCTGAAGCTTACTGTGAATCAATTTTTTTGAAGTTTTTTTTTCTTTGTAAAAAAAAAATATGTTGTAATAGTTTTTTTCTAATACTTATTTTGTAATTATTATTGCAAAGAAGTATAGTATTTTTAAAGCTTGGTGACAAACTATTGTTGTTTTTAGACTAGATATTTTTTGGATATTAAAGGTTGATTTCTTAGTTTCCAAAAATATTATCAAAAAAGAAAATTTTTAAGGAAACTGGAGATCAGTGAAAAGAGTTTTTTAAAAAAAAACAAATCATATCAAAATAAATAATAGATTTTTTAACAATAATAAAAAAATTTTAAATGTATTTTTTAAATTATTATAAAAAAATATTTTAATAAAAATAAATTTTTATATATTATATTATTATTTACAAATTTTTTAACATAAATTTTATATTTTTTAAACTATTTATTAAAATTTTTAAATAAAAATTTTTTGTTTATTAATCGACAATTTATTTTATTTTATTAAATTAGAATAAAAAAAAAAAACTTTTGAATTAATATTTTAGATAACCAGTATTTTAATTTTAATTTAAAAATACAAGTTATAATTGATTTGTTAATTATTTCCATTGTTTACATTTATTTATTATTTTGCGTATAAAAATAAAACATTGAATGAATAAATTTTACAAATTAAATTTAGTTTAATAACATAGATATCTTTTGAAAATCAACCATATAGTATAAAAAAAAAAGTAATATACTGTACGTCGGTTAGAATTAAGATAAGGTTGGCCGGGATTAAGATAAGCCGACCGGAGTTAACATGGAGTTGGTTGTTGGGCAAAATTAATGAGTAGAGCAAAAATTAAGAATGAGTTGGGCGGAATTAACCTGATCTAATCACGTGCGCATACATTGGTTTTGAATTGAGAATTTATCACATGCCAATATAGAGGTGCGCATTTAAAGAGGGTGTAAAGATGGATTTAAAGAGATTTTCCATATGTCTGATATTCTATTAGAAATGAAATTATAATTAATTAAGTAAAAAAAATTTTGCATATATGGTTTTTTTTATATAAATTAAGTGAAGTGATTATAATAATAAAACAACCATCAATGTAAATTTAATTGATTAATTCGAATATGAAAAATAAGACTATAAATGTAATCTCAATTGATTAATTCAAATAACGAAAAAAATAAAACTAAATTGATTAATTCGAATATAAAAATATAGTAATGAATATACAGTATGTACGTCCGGGACCTAATATGAAATACCCAATAAGAATCTTACAAGACGCCCACGTGTATTTTGACTGGTAACGGGTATCTTGTATGTATTATACTGTATGTGGTGTTGCATTTTCTATCGAATTCCCTTTGTTCTTGGATTTCTTTTGAGCTGTAGATTATAAGAAACAGATAAGTAATTATTTAAAGTACCACAATTAGAATAAAACTTCATCCAACCACTTGTCATTTAGTGACAATATCTCGATGATGACTAATCCGTTTTTGGTAATCTATAATTCTTTTTTTTATTAAAAATGGACTGGTCGTTATTGAGAGATAGCAATTAAAAGTGGCATCACGGAATGAAAGAGAATACTTTAATCGATGCATATTACAGTATGTAATTAACAATCTAATAACTAATATAATTGTTCATTCATTAAGCTTAATTTAATTGCATTTATTCCTCTTATAATTTTTAAAAATAATAATTTAGTTATAATATAGTTGTGGTCATAATATAATAAAATTTTTATTTTTTCATTAAAAAACTATTTTAATTTAATATTTAGTATGAAGAAAGACACATAAATCTATTAGTATAAATTAATTAAAAACTATCACTTTGAAATAATAATAGCCATTGGAAAAACAACTTTATAGAAAATAGTTGGTCGGAGCAAAATTAGAGACTACAACATTTTTCATTCTTGTGCAATAGAGAGGTATTTTGATACCATCATCAAACCACGGCGGACATTAATTCTTTCATAGAAGGCAAAGGCAAAAAAAAAAAAAAAAAAAAAATTGGTAATTAAAAATGACCAATCTTGATGGGCGACCAGCCATCTGCTATACCCCACATTCCTAGCCTTCCAAATTTGGGAGAAACTCGAGGGTCTTTATTTGGGTGAGAATGGGTTGAAACAATGTACATGTCATACGATCGTAAAAAAAAAAAAAAATTCCTAAAAAAAATAAAGATTATAATCGTGATGCAATGTATATAATGATAATGGGATCTGAACAGTTCTCCGATTGTTACGAGCTACGTGATTCAATCTGATTAAACCCAAATGCATGATTTAAAATGTCATTTAAAAAATTGTGATCGGACCCCAAAAAAGGGGGACACTCGAACAGAACAATAATGAGGGACCTTCAAGATGGAACCGGCAAATAAATCGTAATCAGAGTTGTGCAATGTGATAGCCAATTTCATTTTCTGAAGGTGATTACGGAAAGAACAATGCAAGTAAATGTTTTTAATGTTTAACTAACTTCCTATTCTCCGTCATGTAGAAAAGCTTGCAGAATGCTGGGTCACTGGGTCGCACGCATAATAATATATCGCACGTATGCATGACAAATTGAACTGAATAAACAGGTGAGCTTCGCGTTATGAGACAATAATATCACTGTAAAAAAATAAAAATACAGGTGGCAAAACAAAATCAAAACTTTTTTCCAAATAAACAATATACAGTATCTATCTCTATTGTTTTTTTATCTTGGTTTTCGAGCTCTTATTATTGAACTGCGAGTTGCATTAAAGTGACCCCACTATGAAAATAATCAGAGATGCATTAAAAACCGTAATGGAATAAATAATAAAGGAAGTCATGAGACACACATACAGTATTTTACAAAGGCGTTCCGTTGAATTCCCGAGTTTATGCAAATTTAAAGAAGTGTGCAAATAAGAAAAATTCTAGAATTCTTTATTGTTTGTTGTAGTAATAACAATCAACAATTGTGGTGAAACAATCAAATTTCAGAAATGCATTCAAGGCTTGGAAAATAAGGTTTCAAAGAATTTATACTGCAATATTTTAGGCCCTGATACAAATATACAAATATGCACGTATGTGCGCACGAATTATACGCCAATGTTTTCTTACACATACAGTATGTGCATGTATGTACGCCAAATGTATGGCTAACAATCCAACATGATCAAAAAAATACATCATAGCATATAACAAATGCTAATGCCAATAAAGGAAGCGAAAACATTTAAATTAGAATCGAGTCCTTGTTATTTAACACAGGACACTGATTTTTGCCTTCAGCATCCTGTGCTAATAATAGGCGACTCCTTATGTCTGCATACGCAGATCAATAAAGGAAGGTTTATTAGGTGGAGATGCGAGAAAAGCACGTTTCTAGAATTGAACGTGATAATCATTATGCATCTTGTTTAGATTAACGATTTATCCTAAATTAAAAATTTTGTATCCATTCAAGGTAATTAAAAGTGGACCAAGCGCATTCTATTTATAAAGAACGAGTTTCCGACTCGCTAAAGCTCGAGCACTACACAACGATGACGTCACATAATAAAACACGATTCATTCATTTGCACGTGCATTTTTGTGATAAGCAATGAACCTATTCGTTACTCTTGATAACAACAAGGTTCCTGAGGGAAGCATTGCTCGAGTACCCAATCCACATACGTATTAGCAAAGAAATTCACGTTCATAAGAATCGCACACTCTCATCAAATTAACCACTGGCTTGCATGAGTATGCATTGCATTATCTATTTGAATCAAATCGCATATCAACACATGCTTATCTTTTCAAGTTATTTACTTTATGCATTCGTTTCACCCAATCATTTTAACTATGGTGAACTTTATAAACAAATACACGCAATTCAATAAGAGTAACGCAAAGACAATTTACATACAGTATATGGTAAGACAAAGATTTCGATAATCTCGTACGACTTGTTTCATTTCTTCCGGAACAATAAGTACTTATTTGTTTCGTCTAGGTTTTTTTTTTTTTTTTTTTGTTAAATCGTAAAATTGTAAATCATGGTCGTGGGGTAATCCCCGAAAACGATACCCTCTTTCTCCATTGGTCGAGTTGCCAGATTCGCGAGCACTATCACCATGCTTATTGCAAAAAGAAAATAAACCACAACTCCTATTAAAGAAAAACAATATATGCAACACTGTAACCATTTGAAACACTCTTTACAAGATACGTTAAATATTATTTTAAAGTAAGTTACAAATACAGTATTGAAAAAAATAATCCATTTCATTGTTGATTGACGAATGCATGCTCAATCAACCGTGCTAAACCGGAATGATTTGAGAAATTTTTTTAAAAAAAATCCAGTTGATAATGGCTTTGAAATTATATTTAAAAAGTCAACTATTTAATCAAATTATGATAAGGATGATATGCGGATACAGTATATCGTTTCGGTTCTTCCTGAAAGTAATGGCGGTTATACTGTATAATATTATATTGGCCTACCTTTTGCTATTGGATTTTTAAAGTGCTGCATATATTTAGCTATTAAAAATCAAAAATAATAAAAAATTTTCAAACAATCATTGCATTCTTTCAATTAAATCATTAGCTATTTATTTATTTTATGATTTTTTAATGTGCTAATATTTTAAGCTTATTTTTATTATACTGTATTAGTATAAAAAGGTAAATACGTATATGAAAAAATAAAATATTGTTTATTAATAAGTTATAAGTATGCAAATGTTTATTTTTAATGTTATTTATTTAAATAAATATAAAATTACAAACTATTTTTACTAATTAATCCTTTTGTTTACCTTTTTCAAAATAATGTTTACTTTGTAAATAAATATATTACAAATTATTTTTTATTCATATTTATTTCTTTTTTAATTTTTTATTTAATTAGAATATTTAAATTAAAAAAAATTAAAATAATTTTTAAATTTTTAATATTTAAAAAGAATATTCAAATAAAGATTTGCAGTTAAAAAAAAAAACTTTTTTTTCATATAATAGAATAAATAAATTTTTAAAATAAATAATATCAAAAACATAATATAACAAGACCTTATTTTTAAAAAATCTTATCATATAATTTAAATTTAATTTTATAAAAATATTATTATTATTATTTAATTTTAATTTTTAATTATATTAAATTTATTAAAATTTTATTAATTAAAAATTAAAATTAAATAATATAATATAAATAATTGAAAATAAATAAAATTATTAAAAATTTTTTTTTTGAGTACCCGTAGTCAAATTAGATTGTTAGTTTATTAATCAATTGAAAATATAAATATATTTTTATTCAAGCAGCATGATACATACTATAGCTAAACTATTGTTCTAATCTAACTAACTCATTATAAATATAAAAGTTCGAAGTTTGGCTTTGAGAACAATATTTCACTCTATAGTGTCTTTGAGCAAAAACCTTTCTAGTCCACTGTATCATTACCAGCAGGTTATCATTATCATATATCTAATCAAACCACTAGAATATAGGAAATTACAAAAGGATAGGTTGAAAAAAAGGAAAAAGATATTCAAAAATCTTTAAATAGATAACAAAAAAAAAACAAAAAGATAAAAATTAAAAAAAAATTTTTTTCAGCTTCTTTCAAAAATCTGCTTTTTGAGAACTTTTCTCAATAAGAAATGCCTAATTGTGATATTTTTTCTTTTCCTAACCAACTGAAAAACTTATTTATCCTTGATCTTGATTTTCTTTTTATATACCTTCTGAAGAGATTTATCACCTAGTATGAACCTTTACTTCCAGGACATACTTGATCCCAACCTTTTTTAAGCAGTAATTTTTTATTTATCAGTGATAGAGAGATGACTTATAATGGATCTCAAGTTCTTATATAACCTAGTAGAAACTGAATTATATTATTTCAATATGATACCTTCTAACAATCACACCTATTTAAAGAAATTTTACTAGTATACATCTTGCATTACACAAAAGATCAGATTCCTTAATAATCTTTTTGTCTTATAATAGTAAAAGGGTTTTAAAAGTAATGGAAATCCTCGTCAATTGCAATATCCTTTAATAACTTCTGAAAAAATGTATTCTCAATTGTAATCAAAGGATTGAAACTTAACATGAACTAGAAACTTTTTAGTCTTATTACCTAACCTGAATAAAAAAAAGACCTTGGTTTTGAACTTTGTCTAATTAAAATAATAAGAGAAAAAAATCTTAAATTAAAAAAATAGTAGCTTTTTTATTACTTGAGGACTTGTTGCTCGTATTTTATTGACCTTATGGAACTTGATTTGTAAATTAACCCAATTGGAGAAATAAGATAAATACGAAATATCAATTAACTCTTTAAATTATCAATGACATTATCGGAATACATGAATTAACTAGTAGGAACTTGTTTATATTCAGTTATTAAATTCATATCCACAAATCATATTTTGTTATAGATTATATCACTTAAAATTCAAGGTCAAACTGAAATAGATAAAATTCCTCAAAAAACCAAAAAATTTTTAGGTAATAATAAAAGAGAAGAAATAGTAGGCAGACACTTTGAAATATGGCTTGATATTTATTACTTTCTACTACAAATAATCTTTATAGACATGCTTCAATATGAAAGGTTTCAAATACTACACTATTAATTCTTCTTTCTTATAGAACTTTCTTATTATAAGTAAAAAAGATATTTCTTGACTTTTCTAGATCACAAGAAGTCAAGTTTTTGTTTGAAGATAAATATAAACAAGAAAAAAGTTTAGAAGAATCTTTTTAAGTAAAACTTCAAGTTGATTTAGGGATAATATTAAGACTTTATTAGCAAGAAATAAAAAATTTCTTGTAAACATCTTTTTTGTTTATGGATCTTTATTTTTCAAAAATAAATAAATATTATATATAATATATATTATATATACAGTATATTACATTTTTTAAAAAATTATTATTATTATAATAGAAAATATTTTAAATTTTAATAAATAATTCAATTTAATACAAATATATTATATATTGTTATAAAATTTTTTATAATTAATAATATAAATAAATTATTAATAAATTTCTGTTATATAATTTAATATTATTTATTATATTAGTTTACACTATTTCTATTATATATTTTATTAAAATTATTCTCAAAAAATCTTTATTTTTTACTTTCACTAGTCAAAAAATGATTATTCAATATAATACCACTTGTGCAACATTTATTAAAAAATCAAATAATTCAATATATTAATGACATAAATAAATCATTAATCAATTTCTACTATATAATTTAATATTATTTATCATATAGTTTACACTATTTTTATATATTTTTTATTAAAAATTTTCTCAAAAAATCTTTATTTTTTACTTTCATTAATTAAAAATTGATTATTTAACATAATACTACTCATGTAATATTTATCAAAAAAATAAATAATTCAATATATTAATGACATAAATAAATTGTTAAATTATTAATCAATTTTTATTATATAATTCGACATAAATAAATTACTAATCAATTTATACTATACAATATAATTCAAATTATTTATCATATTATTTACACTATTTTTACTATATATTTAATTAAAAATTTTAATTTTATCAAAATTCATACATTTATCAAATTTTAATTATATATTATATTTACAATTTAAAGAATTATATATTTACATTTAATTGGATAAAATTCAATATTTTACAATTCAATATTCATATCATTTTAAAATTCAAATAAAATCTATTTTTTATTAAATTAACTAATTTGTATCATTAAATAAAAGCCAATTAATATTTAATAACATTATTTGAAAAGTTTATCAAATATATAAAGAAGAATTGAACTTATTTCAAATACAATTAATATTTCTATCATTATTCATAAATTAAGTTAATATAAATAAATTCTTAATATTTTATAAAAATACAACAAAATTAAATATACTTTATTCTAAATAATTATTAATTTTTATTATTTTTCATAAATAGTTTAATAGATTTAATATTTTAATAGATATGTATCTCTAAATTTAATTTTTTTGAATACAAAAGTTTATTTAAAAAATATTTAGATTTATGGATAAATATTATATATATTATTTCAAGATCAATATAACTTGTTAACTAAAAACTGATTTAATTTAGAAATTGAATTAATGTTTAATTAATTATTTAAAATTATAAGTCTTTAATTATTGGGATAGAATATAGTTAGATTAATAAATTGATAATTATTCATTAATTTTCATATTAATTCAAGTTTAATATTTTGATAACCATTAAATAATAAACCTGAATTAAAAATTCATTAAAATTCTATTTTTAAATATTAAATTTGTCCAAAAACTTATCTAACATATAATTTATCTTTTTTTTTTTTTTTTTTTTTTTTTTTTATCACAAATGAGCATTAAATGCGGGCTTTATTAGAAATTTAATTCATTAGCTTGACATTAATAGTATTTATATTGTAAATTAACTATAACCTATTGCGATTTGCTTTCCATGATAAACTACCAGTCATTGACTGGGTGCATTATGCAAAGGTCGAATAGCTAATGCTCATTCAAAAACAATGATATTATTAATAGAGTAAAAATAAATAGGTTAGTAGCATTGTTATGGTAGTTTAATGTCTGTATTATTTGTTCAAGAAGAAAATCTTTGTAGTTATTATTATTGCTGTTGAGGTGAAGAGTATTGCCTTGATGGGTTTCCATTTGATTCCATTAAGAGGAGTTGTGTTCGCTGTAGCAAATCGTTGTTTCCAAATCTTGTTAAGAATTTTAAGAGATTTGTTGACTAATTGTGCTTTGTGTTTTGGTTTGTTAAGTTGGTTAGAGAATTGATTAGAGGCTTCTAATGTTATTTTAAGTAATATGGTACCATTATTAAACTGGTAGAGATTATTAAGGTTGCATGTTAAGGGACTTTTTGTTGACTGTTTGTTGATTAATTCTTTAAAAAAAGTGCTGAGTTTTTTTGCTTTTAGACTCAGATATTCGTTGTTTTCATTGCATATAAAAACATGGGTTTGATTCTCTGTAGGATGTTCACATCTAGGACATTTGATATTTGGGTAGAGTAACGGATATCGTTTGTTGAGTTTAGATCTTGTGGTTAAAGAG